GGGGGGGGTTGCCTTCCTCCGGACCCCTTCGATTTGCTGACTAGCCTAGATTTTTTTGTGATGTACATTAAGTCTGCCCTAACAGAGCTCATTGGATGGAGACTGCGAACTGACATACCGCATGGAGTGGGAGACCGACTAGAGGATGTAGTAAATGCAACCACCCAGATGTATCGCTAGTAAAGCATGCATGTGAGTCCAAATGCTATAAGATTTCAAACAAAACATTAGTCCAATCATTGTACTAATGTGTATCCATAAGTCTAGGCCCACATGCAGATTCACTTGCATGAAAGGGCGTTAATCAAGCGTCCGTCGCATGGACAAACTTTGGAATTGCATTCGCATCATCAAGGCTAACAAGTCCTGATATATCGTCATAATAACTTGACGCTTTTCCTAGTAAGATGGAAAGACTGCGAAATCACTCCAAATTCAAACCATCTAGCCGCCATGCTTTAGAGATATTCATCTCTTCAAATCGCTTCGGTATGTTATTCACCGTGGTTTGAATGCAACATTTTGATGACATGTAGAAAACCACTAAGCAAACAATCAAAACCTGACGCACTTATTACATAAGGAGATTGCTTTAGGATTATCCGCTGCCCTCAAAGCGAGCCGGACGACGAATTGCTCTACCCTTTCTACTCTTCCTAACGTCGCTATCCACTTCGGAAAAGCTTTCTAACTCTTGTAGGCTAAGTGCCTCTTCTTCATAGATCAGCATGCAATCAACACACTCCCAATCTACTCCATCTTCTAGAATCTCCTCTGGAAATAAAACTCCTCGACTCGTTAAACAATCTAGATGAAAGCCCTTATTACAAGAATCACACAACACTTGCACATCTTTGCCCTCCCCATGGAAAAGATCGCAAATCTCGCACTCCTCTTTCACCCCCGCTACATTCTGCCGCTGAGCGCTGACGCCTTCCACCACCTCCACCACCTCTCTCTGAAACGAATCCAGGGCCCCCATCAGTCGCTCGAGTTCCTTTGCAGGCAGCCGAAACCCACTCGGATCTATCTCTAGAGCAACATCAACAGCGAACCTTTGGGCCACATCCTCCCTGTCCTCCCCCTCAACTCGATACAACGATGAATCATCTGCCGAGATTCCTAACCAAACAACCCGTAGGCTCTGCGTGCTATTCCCTACAAACCCTTTATCTCGCCCTATCCAAAACATTCTATCATTCCCTACCGCAAGTTCCATCCCCTGCGAGTCCTGCGGTGCCACAAACGCGGAGAAGGTGGGCTGACGAGCGCGACTGGCCCGAATCTGTGCTGCTCCACTGGTTGGCCCGTCTGTCCCTGATGCAGAAAAAGAGCTGCCAAGCTTTGGTCTAGCTAAGTGTGACATCAAAAAGCGTAGCCTGGCGAGCGTCTTCCTTTTCGCAAGTTCGCCTCGGAGGCGCGCCCCGGGAAGTTCCGGAGCCCTCGATATGAAGATAAGAAGCCAAAGGGCTTCAGCAAAAAGGGGTTGGAAGGGCAGACTGAAAGTGGCAAGCGCAGCAAGCATGTCTTTCGAACAGCCGGTGAAGTGCGCACAAGGCCCCAACCTAGTCAAAGCGTCTTGGGATTGCTGGACTTTCAGCATTCGAGGCGCTACTTGTTCGAGTAACTGCAGAAATCTGCAAATTTGTCACAGTTGTAACAGGGTTCTGGATTGAACATCAAGAGCTTCAACAAAACGTGCATCAACGAAACTGTCTGGTGGTTGGTACCATATAAAAGCCAGGCTGACCTTTCTGCTCATGCTCGACCGGTAAAACCCCCAGTCATTCCGTTTCGTTTTGCTCCAAGAGCGTTTCCAGGGTCCGCCCCGAAGCCACTCAAGAAACGTCAGACATTCACGAAAGTCCGCAGGAATTGAATAGTTCCGCTCACTTCACTGCTCCCGTCCAAATATACAGATCGATGCATCAAGAGAATCCAAAATGATACTAGGACCCGAAAATAGAGCTTCTCCTGTGTCTGACAGGACTGAACACGAAATCGCCGTGAATCAACATGCTTGCAGAAATTGACAAAGGACGAACAAGGCAAGGTTCTCGTATATTCTCGACCAATATCCTTTTAAGGCTTACCCTGAGCAGGATCTGCTGAACCTCGGACAGGTGCTGCAGCCCGCTGACGTGCTCTCGCGTCCGCGTGTAGCTTCTGAATCTGCCACTTGCGGACTTGAGCGATGGCGTCTTTGTCCGAGCAGCACCCGTTAACCCCCCCACAATGAAAGCCTTGACGTCCTCCTCCATCCACAGGTAATTCCGGCGCTCCAACTCTTGACGGAGCAGGACAGACGGCAGGCACCTGAATACATAAATTGGTTGTCAATATGCAGATTTCAGCGCACCAGCATTCAAACGTAAGATTCCTCTGCTGAGGACACAGAACTTAGGTAAAATGATTCTCTCCCTACAGATCACAAGATATACCAGCAACAAGGGCGGCTTCTATTAGACATTCGTTTTCACACCCGACGTTCAAAGCAAGCACCGAAAACTCAATTTACAAAAGAGAAAAGTCTCCAACAGTACACAACAAGGACTTTCCAACGACTTTTGAAAGCAGATGCGTCATTCACAGAAGTATGAAACTCGCAGACTTTTATGTGACAAATCACCTTAGATATCATACATCAATTACAGACCACGCAAATGTTGAACTTTTTCAGCGAGGCTTTGACTCAAGCTCTTTCTTATATCGCTCCAGCCCTTCAACATCCTTTCCTATTCCAAGAACTAAATCCTTCCAGTCAACCAAATACTGTGAAATTCTGAACGGACTGAAAGGACTTCAGCTGGCACATTCAGTCACATGATTCAGCACTTAAGAGAGCTTTACAATTCTCAGCTTGACACCGGAAAGGAACTCGCCCTTGCACATAAATCATCACCTGTCAACACAATCAAGTTCCCACGGAGGATGTTGCTCGTTCTGCGCTCGTGCTACCGAGTCCTGGAAATGTCCACCGCTCTCCGTAAATTGGGCGGTCCCCAAGAAGGTCCTCTCTCGGCACCCCGAGTGATCGCAACACGCTGCCGGACTGCCAAGCCTCCGCCGCGCCTTCTCAAACCCGTCCATGCACTTGAAAAGGCACTTCTCATCCCAGCACGCCAAGAACTCCATTCCGTATCGGCTAAGCAGGGTGTGCTTTGGGCAGTTCACGAAGTCGAACAACTCGTCAAAACGGGCTGCCTGATCACGATCGGACCAAAGTGCTCTCTTTCTCACGCCCGCTTTGGAGTACGCCCTCAAGGCCTCCCTCTCGCTGTTCGAAACGTACCCCAGTTCACACGCACACTCGCCGGCACCTCGGCCGCACCCCCCCGCGCACTCTACCGGAAGAGCCTGCTTGACAGTTAGTGGAAAGCCGCAGAACTCCCCGTCCGACAGCCTGGATCCAACCTCGTCTAGCTCCCACTGCAGGTTTGCCCAAACCTTCCGCTCGTCCACCACCCCTCTCTCTAGGTCAACCGCGTCACCGAACGGCTGGGAGTCGATGGGCACGTTACACAGCTCTTTCGTCTCGACTGCATTCAGCCTCTCCGCGCCCACGTTATAGGCACTCTGCCCCCCAGCATGCGTCCGCTGCGAGCTGTAGCACAACCCCTTTTCTCGGAAGAACAAAGCTTGGGTGTAGATGACCTCTCGGAACTCCGGGTTGTGGTCAGGCCCTTTGTCGGTGTAGTGATGCCAGGAGCACGAGTCAAACAACTCCGGGTCCCCTTCCCACAGCTGCTCGACATTGTTGATCTTCTGAGCTGCCGTCGAGGGATTATATTTCTCCGTTTGGAGGACTGCATAACCCCGGCCCCCGTTTCTACTCACAAGGGCCTGCTTTCCCCCGTGCCGCTCCAGGGCCCGCCGAGTGCCCGCGAGCCTCTCCCTGTTCATGGCCGTGTCCTCCGTCAACAAGACGATGCTGTCGATGATGATGTTGCTATCTCTGGCCTTGGAGTGGAGGTCGTGGTCAGGTGATGTCTTCTTGTTGCTGCAGACATGGTAGACGCGGTGCCTGCTGGTTGAGGTGTTGATGTCGGGCTTCACTTTGGCGTGATCATCGGCAGCCGTGATGGTCGAGCAGGGCGTAGCAAACGCCCGATCTTGGGACGCGCGCCAGTCGACGTGGCAGTGTTTGCCGTCCACGTTTCCCTCCTTGTCCTCCGCCCTGACCTGGAAAAAGAGGACCGGAAGGGTTTCTGAACTAGCTTGAAAGGGCTTGAGGTTCATACCCAAGCACCGACAGGAGGGTTGCAAAACATCAAAATGAAAGTCGGTTTCGCAATGAATGTCGATAAGGACCTCAGGCCTGCGCCTTTCTCTGTGAGAATTTGCAGTAGACATTCGTGAAAACCCCAACCTTTCCTCATGATGCTGCCTCTAGCTATCATCGGTTTCGAACTTACATCCAATCCGTCCAGAAGTCAGAATCTGTTTTGTTCAATGTTGCCGCTTGCTATTACCCGATTAGCGTTCAGATCCAGTCTGTCCAGAGAAGTCAGAATCTGTTTTGTTTGATGTTGCCTCTGGCTATCATCAGATTTGGATTCAGATCCAATCTGTCCAGAAGTCAGAAACTGTTTTGTTCAATGTTGCCTCTAACTATCATCAGATTAGGGTTCAGATCCAATCTGTACAGGAGTCAGAATCTGTTTTGTTTGATCACAAGTTCAGATGTGATTTGCACAAAGATTCTACAAACAGCATGCATCAAGATCGACCGGTATCCCCAGCCTTGGAGAAAATAGAAGGGTCCAAGAAAAAGGGCGAGCGGCCAAGTACGCTAGAGTGTGTATGCTTCAATCGTCCAACAAACAGGATCTGCAAAGGGGGGCAGCAGTTAAATCACCTTCATGAATCGTTTGCGAAGATAAGCATATCCTAGACAAGTGTTCTCAGAAGATGGAGGAAAGAGGACGCCCGGTAAATTTCCTCATTGGACGCTCTGCTCGAAAAGAATCCCATCTCAGGTCACTTCCTTGTTGACAGCAAGAAACTTAAGCAATTCAGAAGTTGGTTTGCCACAAGCGGCTTGTAGTGAAACCAGGATCAAATTGCATATGCCCATTCTGTCCACCGCAAGTGTGGCTGAACTAACTCCGGGGACTTGGAGCAATTGCAAAAGTGTCTCCCCACTGAAGCAAAGCGCGTTTGCATGAATAGTGGTTGACCTCAACTCCCTCCTTTCCACATACAAAATTGATATACATTTTCTTTAGAGGAACCAAAACCCTTTCCAATGGCGCAAACATCAATGTTCCTCACCTTGTGCATGCGCACGTCAGCTAGTGGAACGTGGAGCCTCCCAGCAATGGACCGGCAGTTGGCAGGGTGCATGGCCCGGTGCACCGTCTTTCTGGAGACACTTATCAGCTCCCCAGTCCGGCAGCACCGGCACTCCAGGACATACAACCAGATCCGGGTGACAGTGGAGCGCCCGCCTCGGTGCAGAGTAGAATCCTGCCTTCGCCTCTCCGCCTTCCCTCCATCTCCATCCCCCAAGTTCTCGACCGCCCTCTCTATGTGCTCTCCCAAGCAACACGCATGGGCCAGAATCTTAGAAGGACGGCCCCCCTCTCTCCTCTTCCGGAGCATGAACCTTGCCACCTTCAACTCAGCCCTCCTGGTGTCCCTCTGCTTCCTCCTCTGATAGGCGCTTGGCTCCGTTTTATATGCAACCGACCGCATTAGCTGATCAAGGTCAGCCATATAAAACTCAGCACCCGACAACTCCTCCGTGATCGCCGCAATGCTTTCCCGCTTCCACCCATACTGCTTGACTACAAAGTCAGCCCCCGTCAGCTGCGCAAGAAGGCCTTTAAAGACCCTGCGGTCCTGCTCCTTGCTGAGGAACCGGAGGTATTTCAGGATGGGGAGCTCCCGGGCCTTCTGAGCTGTCTCCTTTGCTTGCTCACGCACCATCTTGGCCAGAGTGGCAAACTGGAGGATGTGGTCATGTGCTTGGACAGGCCTCGCGCAGAGCAACACTACCTCCTTGCAGCCTTCCCTCGCCTGAACAGTGATGCTGATAAGAGGAAGGTATCGAAGCAGAAAAGCCAGCAGCCGACTTGGCCGGCCTCTGAACTTCTGTGACACCCCTCCCCGCCCGGTTGCCCCTTCCCCCTCCAACCCCCCCATCCCATCCAGATCCTGGAAACGCTCCAACACCTCTTCCACCCCCGCTTTCTCTCCCCTCAAAGAGCCCCCTGCAGCCCCGGACCCCTCGGCAACTCCCGCTCGTCCAAAATTTCGTAGCCCCTCCAACCCCTCTGCCCCCACAGAAGCCCCTCCTAGCCCCTCTTCGTCCCATTCAGCCATGAGATCAGCTGCGTCATCCAGGGAAAAAAACCCAGTTTCGCTCAGGTCAACCGCAGCTGCTATCTCAAGAAGAGACGTCAACTTAGCTTTGTCCCGCGCAACCGGCTTCCAGGGCTCCGCCCACTCTTCCCACGTCTTCTTCTTCTGCACCCTCCGTTTCTGGAGCGCTTCACTTTCCTCCTTGTCTATAAGCTGGCCGATAAACTTGATTGCCTTTTTAAGACTAACCGCATCATCCAGCGCCCGGCACATATTCACACCCCTATCGACGTAGGTCTTCTCAGAGGCCCTATCCTTCAGGTGACGCTTGTACCTAGTTTCCAGTCTAACTACAGGAGGGAACTTGCTAGCTGCCAATTCCCTCCACTTTTTCCGGATGCGGGACGCAGCCAGCTCCCGAAAAATCCCTTCCCCTTCTATCAAGGAGGACGTATAAACCAGACTCCATTGCCCCCTTGAGCCCTGGAAGTGCACCGTAGCCACCAGCGCCTTTACGCTCTGCACCCCCCATCCAACGCTTAGAAACTGAGGGGGCACCGCAAAACCCAAGTCCAGCCCTTCCAGCTCTTCTACCTTGCATCCCACCACCGCCGCAAACAATCTAGCTTGAAACTCATCATCACTCCCCTCTTCTTCTCCACAATCTTTGCCCTCCTCAGACCACCGCCTTTCCCCGCGTCCCCCAACCTTTCAATTCGTCTCCTCCTCCTCCCCCTCTTCCCTCTCCCCCTCGTTGTCCTCCTGCTCGACTTCCGCCTCATCCTCCTCGTCCCCTTCCGAGGGTTCCTCTTCACTGCTCTCAATGTCTTGAACGGCCGCCTTCTTCTTCTTCTGCACAAAAATGGTAGCACAGTTTGGGTAAGTTGCTGCACTTTTCAAGACCAACCACTTCAACTTGCAGGTCTTCCTCCTGCTCCGAGCGTAACCAGGGCAGATACATAGATCCCTTCCGAGCGCTGCAGAAGTTTAGAAACCCCAATTACGTCCAAGACACAAGGCACTGACAAGTCATATTTCTTTATTGTGACGGCCATTATCAGATCCTGTCTTCACGCATTTTCAGCAGCGACATGCTGCGGTCACATCCCTATTCAGTCCTCTCGCTTCCCCATTGCAGCAGACATCATCGAACTCTGATTGTATACAGCAACCGATGCAAATTTGAAAGCAATCCGGCGTCCACTCAGCTGGACTATCTGCACTGAACTTTAGCGTCCACATCAATACAAACATTATTGGTCTGTGATTTACTGCAGCGATGCAGACCTTACCAGCTCGTCCACATCGCTGCAGACACCACTAGACCATGTCCATCTGCACCAAAGCGGACCTGATAAATCTGTTACTGTTTGCCTCGATGCAGACAAGCTTAGACTAAACTGTGCAGCGATGTGGATCTAATCAGGAAAGGGACGTCTGCATCGCTGGAGACGTCATCGGACTTTCATCTTCTGCAGTTATGCCGACGCCTGACCTTGTGATCAGATCTGCATTGAGCACTCCAAACATGACGGACAAATAGATAACTGAAGCAACGCAAACTTGACCAGATTTGAGTGTCCGCAAAGCTGCAAACATCATCCACGCACACGTGTTCCTAACACCGCTCAACTGCTGCTTGAATATCACCATACTCTTGACCTTGCAGAGCTGCAAACCGTGTCAGACATCAACGGATTACCAGCAACAAACACCTCCTTGAAGCTCGAATGACCAGAAAACTGCAAAAGCCTTTCATGTCTATGTTAAGGGTTTCAAGAAGTATCCATGAACTCCAAAGCCGTAACGTTGTTGAGAGTGATGAGACTTTAGCACGTCAGACCGCTTGAGCATCTGTTAAAAAAGATGCACGTTCGCTGTCAAGACTTAAATCTTAAGTGGAGGTCTGAGTGCTTTTGAAGCTATCTAATTGGTCTATACTGTGCAGTAATCTCGATCTGGCCCTCTCCAAAAGTAGGCCAGCATAATATCTGCAGAGCCCCAAAAGCATGGACAAAACCTCAATTCTCACTAGCTTTGCTTGCATCTCCTTGACCAACTCCTCCATCTCTTGGATATTCGCCTCAGCTTTCCCCCCCTTCCCTCGGGGGCCTCCCGCAATCTTCTTCCGCTTTGCCTGCTGCACCATTCCCGCTTTCACCGTCCGCTTCTTCGTACTCTCCACCCCTGTCCCCTTGCCTTTCTGCGCTTTTGCCACTTCTTTCTCCTTCGCCTCCAACAACGCCCCCACGATTCCAGGCCCCAACTTCGCAATCCGCACTCCGAGGTCCTTCGCAAGCTTTGCAGCCCGCTCCGCTTCTGTCTGAAGGTTGATCAGGACGTCGAAGTAGGGAGGCGAGCGGATCAGAAACGCGACTCCCTCCTTCCAATTGAGCTGCTTCTGTAAAAGCATGAGAAGTGTCTATCAGAAATTGAACTCTCTTATACTACGGTCAAAAATAAAGGCTGTTTTCCTAGCAGGACATGCCGGCTTTGTACCTCCAGCATCTGCAAAGACTGCGGCCTCGAGCAAGAGAGTTAGTGCATCTTGAAGGGCATGCCTTGCTACAAAGAAGTCCAAGAGAAGTTCTGCCTTGGCGCCCATGCCAATGGTGCATTTTGCTGTGTACAGTGGGCGCCAATTTCCCATTTGTTTTGGTTGGCACAATATGGAAGAAAGTGAAGGATAAGTCACGGCTTCCTTGTTGCAGCAGCGTTATCGCCTGAGCACCGTTTCCGATGCTCATAGAGATGCAGATTTGAATAGCGACGTGGTCCTTCGTGGCCTGCAGGAGTCCTAGAAAATGGCTGCAGATCTTGATTCTGGCTCTGCATCAGATGCGGATCTGTCACTGGCCTCAGAAACGAAATATCCCAGAACTGGGCAGGATCTTGCAGCCAAGGACTCAAAAGAGCAGCTCAGTGTGGCTCATCTGCCTCTGGTTTTAGTTACAAACCTGCCAATGCCTTTAGCTCATCCTCAACCTATGTCTGTGGCAGCTAGCGCATTCGTCCATGTCAAGGTCAACTCGAGTGCAACCCATGTTAAGGTCCAGCGTGTCACTTCTGGTAAAGCCATAGATCATGCACCGACAGAAGGGAAGGGTTTTAGCATCGGCACCAAGTGGTCCATCAGTTGGTTCAAATGTCTGCCAATATGCAGTTATTACAGGGCTGGAGACAATCGGTGCAGAGGGCCTGGAGCTTGGCTCTCAACAGATCGAAAGAAGGCGGCTGACTTGAGAAGCACATCTGCCATGGTGGCTTTGAATCAGCAATTGTTGAATTGCCTTGCACTAAAGACACGCAAGAAGGAAAGAAGAGAATGCTTCTTACCAGAAGTGTGTCCAGTTGACTCTGCACCAGGGCGATGGTGGTCGTCATCCGCTCCAATCTCTCTCCTCTTTGATCCTTGCTCAACTGAACCCCCTTTCCACTTGCCCGTGCAATCCGAATTGCCTTCTCGTAGTCGTCAACCTTGTCACAGAGAGTTCTGTTTCTTGCATCCGTTCCTGCTGGGCTTGTCTCAAAGACCACCTTCATTGCAGATGCAACAGCCAGCACGTCAGCCTGCCTGTCAAGAGCATAGCTCTTGATGGTGGAATCGTCCTGCACTCCGAACCCAGGCTCGTCGCAGACTGCCTTGAGCTGCGCAGCAGCATCCTTTGACGTCTGCAGCTGAATGGCCGCATACCTTGAACTCCCTGCAGCAGTGCTCCTGGATGCACCGCCGAGCCCAAAGCGCTTGGCATCAGCAACGGAACGGGACTTCTTGAGGGCAGAAGTGACCCAAGGAGCTGCCTTCTTTACATCAAACTTCGCAAGACTCGCCAGCGGTCCACTCTTCACGGCCCGTTGCAGTGCGAGCTGCTCTGCTCTGTAGTCAGATCTACTCAGAGGCGCCAACAGATTGTGAGTTACTCGCGTGCCCTTGGTGTGAATCAAGTCCCAGCACACCTGGCACAATGCCTGGTCGCACTCCCCACAGTACCCAACCGCGTCCTTCCCATGAGGACAGACCGAAAACGACCCTTCACAGGGACAGGTGGGTTTCTCCACAACAACTTTGGCATGGTTCTGATTGTCACCCCACTTGTGGGGCACCTCCCAGCATGGTGAGCAGAAGCTTGCCACACAACTGGCGCACGAGAATTCTGCCTCAGCCTCCTTGCAGACAGCACACTTGGGAGGTGGATCCTTTGCCACCCCTCCCGCTGCGAATTCTGGACTGCCCTCATTCTCTCTTCCCCGAGGATCAGCATCCTGAGCTCCAGTTGCTGAGAAATCCATGACCGCCACCTTCAGACAAAATAAACGTGTACCCGTTCTGTAAGCAGACACCTAACAGGCCGTTGAATATGCAGTTCCGGGCTTATCAGGGCGCCAAGATTTTCTCTCTTCAACAAGCCAGACAAAAGCAGTCCTGACTCCTGAGACTGAGTCCTGAATGCAAGCCCAGCAGACCAGCAGGGAATTTCGAACTGTTTCATTATTTCGATAATTTATATCAGTAATGAGTACTGCTCTACCGGTACATTCACCTATTCAAAGAGCTCAATTCTAATTAGATTCCATGGAGGCCGGCACCAAGAAATAATTAGTTACTCCACAATTTTTCGGGGTGGTGGGGGTGGGGGGGGGTTACTACCAACGCTGATCTGAGGCAAACAAAAAACGGAATGTTGGATGAACGGGGGGTGGGGGGGCCTGCCCCCTTAGGCAAACGTTCTCGAATGAATTGGGGGATTTACGGGGGCTGGGGCCTGTCCCCTGTCCAAAAAACCGCCTGCGGCGCTCAAGGGGGGGCCTGTCCCCTGTCCCCAAAGTCCGAGGGGTCTGGCTACCACTGGAAATATGTTTAGACACCACCCCCAACCCGTCTTTACGCATACAGCCCTCCAACCCACAGTCGCACACCTTGGCCGCCGTGCAGGGGGTGCTGTGTCTTCCCCCCAAGCCAAAAGCAGGGAAGAAGTCTCGGGCGGTCACTGTGGTGACAGCCCTGTTGATCACCAGTGACGAGTGGCAGGAAGCAGTGCGGCAGCAAGAGGAGGAAGAGAAGCGGAAGAAAGCGGAGGAGGCAAAGCGTGGGGGCGGTAGCACAGTTAGTCCGCCCATTTACGAAGCAAGCGCGTTTGTCGAAAGTTCTCGGATTTTGGTGTTTGATAGTGCATTAGAACCGCCTCGACGAGTACAATATATTTCGTCCCGGCCGGGGTTCGAAAATTTGCCGTCTGGCGGCCGCGCGACGCGGCCGCAAATTCTGACATTCACACGTGCGGCTGTTGCGGGGTTTGCCGCACGGTCATTTTAACATTTTTTGACCGGTTTTAGGGGCCGTGCGTGTCGACCCGACCCTAGGCTACGGCCTGAAACACTCATATTCGTGAAAATTTGAAGTGCCCGGTTATAGTGCAAATGGCCCTATTATCAGGTTAACACGGAATACCTAGGCAGTGGTTCCAAGTGACGTCAGTGTCAGATTTGCATGTGAAGGGTGTCAGTCGACGCGGAATCTTTGGGGCTTTCCAACGAATCCGAAGGCGGCCGAATCTGACAAGATCTCAAAAAGTTATTAGTTGAAATCATTGAAAATGTCGAAAGGTGGCCCGATGGACGGTCGGGTCACCGAGCGCGACAATTCGGCCGCCGGTTGCTGACGTCATCAACCGAGCGGCGCGACCCTTGAGGTCGGTAGTTCGATCCATGAAAGTGACATACGAACTTTGAATCACTACTTGTGGACCAAATGCCACAAAGTTATCGCCCTTTGAAGATTGGTTTCACTGTTTTTTCCAACATGGACGCTGAAAATGGGCGAACTAACCGTGCTACCGCCCGTGGAGAGAAAGCGGCGGCGTCCGCTCGAGCAAAGGAGGCAAAAGCCGATAGAGCCGAAGCGACGAGATTGAGAAAAGCGGAGGCGGCTGCAAAGAAGCAACGGGAGGCCGCGCGGAAGGAGCAAGCTCGGGCAGCCAAGGTTGCATTAGGAGGGGGCAAGCGAAAGAAACTGCCACCGAGGGGGGGGAAGGAGGTTGATGACAACATGAAAGAGGGGGAGGGTCCCTTGAGGGACTTGTTGTATGGAGGGGTTGGGTCGCCAGCTCCCGCGGCGACGATTGTGTCGGATGAAATTGTGTGTCAGCCAAAGGCCTTGACGGAGGTCCATAAGGCAGCTAGGGCTATTAATCTCGCTAGGCTGAAGCGAAAGCGTCTTGCATCTCGTTGATATTGTATTGCATTTCAGAAAAATGTGTTCGTGACCTAGTCAACCACTTTACAGTTGCATTGATAGACTACGAGGAATTGTCGGAGGGCACCTCAAACACGTTGACATTTGATGAAATGAAATGACTGGATACATGCATACAATCTTTACAAGTTCGTCATTGCGATCTTCATCAATGTTCCAAAGTAAATGTGGCGTGTCGAATTGATAAGTTGTGCTTCCTGAAGGCCGCATAATTTGGTTCCGTCATGCATAACTGGCATTGAAACATTGCCAATCACTAAGGCGGCATCTTATTCCGTCCTGCCACACAGCGAGCGACGGTTGTAATATGATAGAGTATTGGGAGTAATACTGAAAATTCAATCTTAAGCGTCAAGGAGTATTTCACTTGGTCATGTTTCTAATGATCTAGGTTTCATGTTTTGCTCTGTGGACACTAGCCGGCAGATCGCACAACTGCAGACTGCACAGGCCTATCATTAACACTGATTGGAAGGCTTGCATCCAACGGCTCGCAGAGCAATACGGTAGATTCTCATGGCCTGCTCGTGTGTTGTGGACCGTTCAACCAGTTCAGGGCGGGGCACCAAGGTCTGGGGCCTTGTTAAGCTTTGGGCCGCTGTTGTGTAGCTTGCTAAGAATGGCCGAGGAGGGTCTTTGTCGAGCATCCGCAGGGCCTCGACATCGCGGCGGACGGGGGGGCCGGTAATAGGACCACCGTCGATTTGAACCGCCGTACGGAGATACAAACAGTCCCGATGCTAAATCAGGTATATTACGACATTTTTATATCTGACACCCTTATACGGTTGGAAAGAGAATTCGACGCCCTACATTTTCATATAACACATGCCATACTGAAAATGCTACGAACATCGAGTAATACAAGGTCAAAGGCGAAGGGGGCCGATAATAGGGACAAGTCCTCCTACTGTCATGTAGACCAGCACTGGCAGATCTCAGAACCATCAGCTGGACACAGTTGAAAGCTCGGGGTTGAAGCTGGGCGCAAGAGGGCTGCAACGGGAACGGGTGTGGCAAGAAGGGAAACGGAGGAAGCTGGTGGTCAAGCAAGGAAAGATTTTGAGGACAGACATTTCTGAGGCGCCATGCAAGCTCTGAAGGAGGTTTTGAGGCGGGCGCCCCACCTTGCAAATCCGATTTGGCAGAGAGCAGTCATTGAAGAGACAGTAGCACCATGCATGAGTTTGGCCCTTAGAAGATTACGCAACCTGAGTTCGTCAGAGTGTCGATGTGGACAAATGATGAAGGCGGAGGCGGCTGGGCAAAGAGAATCGTCCTTAAGTGGTGGGTTTATGCGCTTACTTTGTTTCAGAGGTGGATCTGAGAGTACAAGCACTTTGGATCCGTGCTGCAACATGCAGTGCTTGTTATGGCGATGAGTCAGTCAATGCTGTGGGAGAACTTTTTGGATCTGGAGTGACTTTGACCACTTCTCGGCGCCCTTGAGAGACTTTGCGCAGGCTCAGTTTGGCGCTCACGAGCGGTCCTGTCGTGTCAAGCGTCACTAGGCTGTGGATGTTGGGTCCCAGAGGGTCTGGTCACAGAAATACCATTGTCTGCAGAGCTTTTTTTTCTTTTCTTTTCTGCCTCCCAGTGCTAAGTTGCTTGTGAGACTGTGCAGGGTCCTTCGGGCGGCATCAAAGTAGAGGGTTTGCGGCGGAGGCGGCAGCACTGGCTGATGAAAAGGAGACGTAAGCAGACCTCACGTTCGTGCATCATTGTTCTGACTAGATAATATGTGATCATCGTGGCTGTGAGGTGGTTAATGTGGTGTTGGACGTAAGTTCTGACGCTCAGGGTAGGGCCAATGCGTTGTGCATGGTGCTGTCTCTTGCAGTTCTTTTGTTGTGGATATTCCTGCTAGAGCCCCCTGTGTATCCAGATTCGACATACCACCATTATTGCAAAATGCTTTCTATGCATGGCGCGTCTTGTTGTTGAGTATGGTAAAGTAGGGCTCTGCATTTGACACCAGTCTTTATCTGCAGGATCCAGGTTACCTTTGTAGACAAGAATGGGGAGGAGAAGCAGATACGAGTCCCGATGGGTGTAAATATGCTACAAGCAGCACATGATAATGACATAGAATTAGAAGGTGAGTGGGTTACTCTTGCAGTTGGTCTGCAAATCACCGTTGTTGTTTCCTTGTTGTATCTGCGACTCAGGCTTCTGGAAACGATCTTTTGATAATTATTCAACTTGAAAGGTGGTGCTATTTAGTATTAACAACTTGCTGCTTCATCCAAAGAGAAGAGTGCGTCACTGTGTATATATCTGCCATAATTTTTCCTTCGTGTTAGGTGTCCAGGCCTCTGGCATGGCATTTTGGGAGCAATCCTCTGATGGCCTGGCAACTTGAGTGGTGGTGCTATTTGCAAGCTTCTGTTTTTAAAAGGGCAGAGAGGTTTCCATTTTGTGAAGTCACAGTGGGAAAGTCCGCTGGAACTTTTTGTTCATACCTTGCGTCCTAGGCGTCTGGCACGGCTTTTTGGAAGCAGCCGTCTGATGTCTGACTTGATTGCTGGTTCACAGACAAGCAGCTGTTGAACCAGCAGACTGCTCATGTGGGGTTATCTTGCAGGCAAGATTGTTTGATGCCTTAGTTGGTGGATCTCACCGTTCAGCATATCAAGCTGCTCACTCATTGGCTTCTGGAGGGGTGCTAACAGGATGAATTGAATGGAGCGATGGGGAATGAGGATGGACTCTGAGCATCTGCTGGCACGTCTTGTTTAACGTATGAGCTTGGAGGGCTCGAACAGTGGCGATGATGGATCCTGTTTGAGCACCAAAAGCTCATGTGATTTTTGACCGGGGATCTGAAGCCGAAGCGTATGCGTTGGTCCCCCAGGTTTGGCCGAGCTCCTTCTGGAAGTCCACAATGTCTAGAGCCGATTTGTGTCATGGTCTTTATTGCCGATGAAGGTTTGGATCGCTTCCTGCGCGTAAAGTCTTTCCCCGAAGATTTCTTGTTGAGCTGTGTCGCTCGTTGGCACCCTTGCCTTTCAGACTCCTGGGACAGTCCTTTCCGGTCGCTCATGCTCGGGTGGGCTGCTTGGCAGAAGAAGTCCCAGACATTGTCTGTGCCGCCTAATACTTGCCGCCATTGCATTTTGGGCGGGCAAGCTTCGCTTCGGCGCAAGATCTTGAATGATTTTACTGGATTTTTGAGAACCAACTTCATACCCGTATCCACGGCTGGTGCTTCTGTCAGTTGTCTTACCCCGTTTCTCCGTCATTGGAGATTGCAGCAAAGTAATGTCTTGTCTTGCTTGGAGATGTGCCGACCTTCTCTATTGCTCTATCCTTACGGAACCCTCTGTTTTGGAGTGTCGAGGAAGACAAAAAGAGGCAAAAGCGCGTTTTGACAGATGTCCTGAGATGACCGGGTTGCCTTCGCTTGTTTAATCTGTTAACCCTGATCAGCAGGAGCCAACTCGTGTCGGTTCTGCCAGGATCTGCTTTACTCACTAAAAACTGCTGTCTATGTTTCAGCGACCATCTCTGCTTGCACTGTTTAGTTGAACGGAACCGAGAAGATGGTAAAATTCCCAGATCATGGAAGATAGCGATCTTCGAGAAAGTCAATCATTACACAAACCCCTCCGCTTCGTGTCTAGGTTCGACCGTTTCGGCTGATCGGTACTGTTCCGTTCTCCAGCTAATCTGCGAATGTAGATCATTTATCGCCCTTGTGGTGCAGGCTAAAGCCAGCATAAAGCTGAAGACTTGCTGATATAGTGCTTCGAACCCCGCAGGTGCTTGCGAAGGGTCTCTTGCGTGTTCAACATGCCACGTCATCATAATGGTAAGCCCGTCCGTCCTCGCCCTTCCTCTGTCGTTTGGCAACCTATGTGCACCCTAACGCGCCCCAGAGACACTTTGTCTAGTCTGTAGATGTTTGCAGAGAATGTGGCCGTTGGAAATTTCGATTGTGTCAACATTGGTAGGGACGACGTTTGGTCAATCTCTTTATTTGTGTTCAAGATTTTACAAGCAAGTGGGGGCATTTGTGGGCCGAACTCAGTCTCCTCTTGTCCGTTCGTCTCTTGGGATGTAGAGTCTACCAAGGTCAGTAGCATCTGAAGTCAGCTGCACAGGCTCCGGAAGCGATCCCAAGCTTTACAGCTTGTTGACCATCCTTCGACCGGTGCTAGTTGCAAACCTTCCCACCCACTTGAGGTTTTCTGACGTTTCTAATTTCTAGCCCTTTCTACGAAGGGCACAAATCGATCTTGGTCAAAGATTAACTTTTGGGCAAAGTTTTGGGCGGTTTGCATGACTTGACGTGGAGCCAAAATCCTGCTCGTTCCTTTCTTGTGGACCGTGCATTTGAAAGCTACCACAGAGCAGACAGTGGGGCCATCAGCTCTTGCGTCCACATTGGTTGGAGTCTCGAGTTAAATTTCCCCACAACATCCTTATCGACTTGATGAACCGCAAAGGTAGAAGTGGAACTGCGTTTTGTTGCGCACATGCTTCCTGTTTGCTCTCTCTCTAAAGGGTATCTTGAGTGTTTGTAGTCTGTCTGCGCAGGACCAGGACTTGTACGATAAAATGGAGGAACCGTCAGACGAAGAGAACGATATGCTGGACCTCGCTTTCGGGCTCACAGAAACGTAAGCAACCTCTCTTTCTGCTGTTAGGCCACTTTTTTGCCTAGTTGAGGTCTTGGTGTTGGTGGGGCAGCGGAGCGGGCCGCAGGTGCTTAGCAGGGTCTCTCTCTAATGCGGATGACGATGTAAGGGCCCAAAGAAGATATGGTTTGAAGATCAGTGTTCCTGGTTGAGGGGCATCCTCCTGCTTGGAGGAACGAGTGTGATCCGTCCGTGTCCTTGAAGATCGTGAACAGTCGTTTGCAGTCGTTTGCTAAAGGCTATCCTAGCATCAGTGGTACAAGAGCATTTGCGGTGGTCGCTGATAAACAGGCGTTGAAAGTTTTGAGTTCAGAAGCTAGTCTCACTTCCTTCGTCTCACTCGGACTTGAAACAAAACTTCTTTCGCGATTGGACAGACAAGTGATTCTTGTCAAAAGTGAAGTGATTCTGGTTTTTGTCAGTCTGCTACTCCGATAGCGAGTTTCCGTCTCAGCGTTTTTCTACAATAAGTTTCAGCTCGCCTAAGATTCGCCTCATTGCGGCCTCTCGTCTTGACAGGTCTCGCCTAGGCTGTCAAGTCGTTGCCTCCCCGGAGTTTGACGGCATGCGCTTGTATCTCCCTTCCGTACGTGACGTCAGAGGTTAGCCTAACCACCAACAATCCTTCGGAAGATGCCTATTGACACCAGGCTCATTCTTTGGCCCTGTCTGCATGCCAGGTCGCGGCTGGGGTGTCAAGTAGTAGCGAGTCCGGAGCTAGATGGGATGAAGCTCCGGCTACCGGCCGCGACTAGGAACTTTTATGTGGACGGACATAAACCGGAGCCGCATTGAGGTTGGGGTAAGCATAGGCATGCAGTCTATGCTCTTTGGGGTAGAGCTAGCGGAAAGGTTCTGCACACACAATTGCTCGCATAGACACATGTCTGAACACGTGGAAGATATCTACAGTTGTCTGCAGTCTCTGTGGTTCTAAGAAAACATTCATTGTGAAATGGAGCGGATCATATTTTCACATCAGAGGTTTTTGATATTCTCTCGATCTTCTTCGTCAGAGTCATGTGTCGCATGATATGTGCCTCCTACGACCATCCCGACTGATCGTCGAAGCGTTTCAGGTTGTTTTTGCTCTGCGTTTGTCGGTTTGTTCCTCTGGCTTGTCCATCGCCGCAAGTTGCGGTTAGTTTCCTCTTGTGATTGTCGTAATGTTGTGACACTTCTTTGGCCTCTCCCTCCAAGGCTTGCGTCCAACCCCAGCTTTTTGCTGAGCATGCCTTGCTGCGATGTGGAAATTTGGAAGGCTTCTGTTCGTCGGATTTGTCCGTCCTTCCATCCTTCCATTCTATTGCTCAGGCGCGCCAACGCCCGACTTTTGACACGTCGATTGCAGCATCAGGCGTAATGAGCATGTCTTTTCGCAGATCGTAAGTAGACCGTAGGTGCTGGACCGACTTACGAGTGAGTCAAATGCTGTCTACTTTCTCAAAGAGCTGTTGCGCTTGAAGTGGCTTTGAAACTGTTCCCTCAACGGTTGCAAGTTGGCATTAAGTGCCACCACCCATCGTTGACCCCGTTTTGCATCGACGGGGTCAGCGTTGGGCACTGCCCTAACTTGTGCAGACAATGGTTCCTGAAGTCCTGCAAACCTTGAAGTTTCTGAGCTTTGTACTAAAGCCATCACGCATGTTAGCCTGGTCAATTATAGCAGTGAGAGAGCAGAGTACATTTTGGGCGCCCCAGTTGAAGCCCAAACATTCTTCCAGGACTTTGAGGCTATACTAGCTGTGATGCTGTCGACTAAGTGTCTACAGCTTTTCTTGAGACTTTTTCTCACCAAGATTTGGAGACGTGCCTTTCAAGTTCTGAGAGTCCACCGATATACCTCCTTTCGTTTCAGCAATGGTTGCCGATCAGAGGCAAAGGCTAGTCATCTGTCCTGATTACGTGTTATGCTTGACCCGTTAGTCCTACTGCGTTTGGCTTGGTTGTGGAGCTCAAGACTGGGAGCTTAAGAGAGTTGTTTCTTAAGGAGTGATTGGGTTCGACAATCTGCATTCATGGAGCGCAGGAATGGCAGCGCAGCCCGAACTTCATCGTCCTGACTTTCTAAAAGGCCCTCAACAGTCGCTCAAGCAGCTGGCAATGATGCGCCCGCAATGCTCCGCCTTCAGCTGATAGCAAAGGCGGATGTCTCTTCAAGATGGCTCTTCAAGCTGACACAGAAGCCGGATTCGCTGATCTTTAATTTCCGATAATCCTTCCTTTTCAATTCGCAACCCCGTCATTGGCGGGGCTCTTTTTGGTTGGACGATCGAACTGACGTCCTGTGCGGTTTGTCCCTTTTCTGAGGCTACCGCTGACGTGAGCAGACAATATATCAATTCGAACTTGATTATGCGTTGGCTTAGCGTCGTTTTCAACGATACGTTGCCAGTGGAAGCGCCTGTTTCTACTCACGATGTCCTCGCTGCTCTCCCAATAAGCTCGAACCTCAAGCATTAAGTCTCGGCGCTTTTGAGAGTGACAACCGCCGTGCCTTACCCGCTTTCTAGGAACTAGGAAGGTGGCAATGACCAGACTGAAAGCTGGGTTTGAGTTTCTTCCGTAGGAGCTCAACGATATTTCTTGCTTATGAAGCCAACTTCTCTGCTTCCGTCTTTGCTGCTATTCGTTTCATCCTTCTGAAAATCCAACTTGGATATAGGGCCGCTCCCGTCCTTTCGTCCGCCGTGCTATTCCGCAGCCCTAGCAATTGCAGCTGCCCATGTGAACGGCCCGGTAACGTGGTTGGCTGCAAGTACAACGTCTCATATAACCTGAAAGCCTGCTGTGAGATTAATTTTACCTGTTTGTTCTCCCTTCCGCTTCAACCTGGTTCAGCCTTGTGCATTGAGTGACTGTGTCGTGTGCGATGCGCCTCAAGATGTCCGCCTCAACGGGTTGTGTCCGTTGCACATCGGCGTTGCGAATTAGCTCTGATTCCCAACCAAAGGTGTTTCACTTCCCGCGCCGAGAGTATTCTATCTAGGAGGAGGGACGTGTCGCGTATGAGATCTAAGTTCTGGCAGCTTGCATCTCCATCCTTCTGAGAAGCACCTTCTGTCACGAGATCAGTCCATCTGTTGCTAAATCACTTTACTGAGATCTAGGTCCTGTTGTAGTCCATGTAATTTGAAGAGCGACCAGTATTTTTTCAGTGCGACTTGGTCTGCTGTGCTGGAAGTCTCGGATGACCGCCCAATGAAGTGTATCTCTGATGTTCCTGTGGTTGGCTCACTTTGACCCACATCGGCCCCAGGCTTCCGCTGTTTCAGATGGCTGTGATGACCAGTGCTTGTCTCCAGAGACTCCACGACAGCAGAGAATTCTGACCAATGCCTCTTAAGCCCAGTGAATCTGCTTAAGGCGACTGTTGTTCTCAGTACGTCCTCAGGCAGAAAAGCTGTTGCATGAATTTATCTAGTCTACTTGTTGTCAAGTATCATCCTCAAGATTACTTGGATACGAGACCGGACCTGAAGCAGTGAGGGGAAAGAGAAGGCAGGAACCAAGAAGCGGGCGGTCGCTCAATCTTTGCAAATCTTAAAGAGTGGCAGACTGGCTTCAGAATTCTGCAGCAATCACTTAGGATCCTCTGAAGGATCCTCGACATCCTTCATCTTTTCCCGGGGTTGGCATCCTGAGGTCAAATGAACATGCAGCGTCTCTTTGGATGACCCCGCGGGGGTCAGTAAGTTCACTCACGTAACGGAAATACATGCATTCTGAGTCGATCGTAGGATATATGCATTGACACTTTGAACTTTCAAAGTGCCCACTCTTGCTTGAGCGCCCTCAAATGATCTGGCCACGCATGGGTTGTCAAAAGAAGACTGTGTCTCACGGAGTGGCGATGTAATAGCAGACTGCCCGCAATCAGACAACGAAGTTACCCACTTACCTGTTGCTCGAAGACGTAAAATGGAGATTTGAATCGACGTGTTTCCTCAGTCGCGGCGCGTCAAAGAGCTACCTTCAAGCAATTGACATGTTTCATCTGCACCTCACTACCTTTTGTTATGAAAAGACAGGCCTGGTCTATAGTCCTCGCAGATCTTGTCATTTTGATGAGACATTGACAAGGGGCAGTGAGCTCTGCAGTTCGTGAGCACTCCGGCTCACTCTTGAATTCAATTGCGGAGTCTCTGCGAAGCCCTGTTGATTTGTGTGCTACCCAGCTACAAGAACGGCTCTGTCAAGCATGTCAAGCACCCCAAGACTGCGCCAGACAATACATTTTATGCAACTGTCGTCCTGCGTGCTTTGCACTTTGCAGAAGATTTACATCCAGTTCGATGATTAGGCCTGCTCAACACGAGCTGTTTTGCGGGGCTAGCCCCGCAGAACGAGCTCGTTCTGCAAGAAAGCCCGATCTGCTTGCGTGTCGACGCTGCCTATGTGGGTCGTCCGTCGTATGTCTCAGATGCGAATATCTCTGCCTTAATCCCCTCGACGAAGGTGATCAAAGATGACGTTGAAGAAGCATTGGGCGGGTCGTGCCACCTCACGGGCTCATTGGATGTGGGCGGTGACCGATGGCCACATGTCGATCATGGTAAATTGAACTTGTTACTCTCCTGTCTGTTTTACGAGTCTGAGTCTGCTGTATTTCAAATGGTTGACAACTTCGTAATGGCAGCGGCTGGCGATGATTCCGCGCGACTCAACCTAGCTACTTGAGCACCAAATTTTATTGCGGAGGCTCATGCAGGTGAGGAAATAAGGAAAGGTCTCATGAAGCCAGCCTAATCTATCATACACTTAGGCCATCGCAGACCCATCCAGACGGCATTTGGGTTGACAGACTGCGTGCAGTACTTGCAGACTGGCAAGCGCCACATGTTTCCATGCAGTCATATCGATCTTGCCCAAGTGCTGCGTTCCTGTCCTGTTAGAAGATTGTACGTACGCTGATAAGTTTCAAGGCCGGAAAAGCTGGGAAGATTTGGAAGAGTTATTATTTCCTTCAAGCCATCGTCGGTGATTTACCACCAAAACAATCCGAGATCGTTCGAATCAGTTGATCCTCGTTTTGGCTTTTGCACCTGTAGGCTTGTTTTGATTGTCTAAATGTCCCTTGTAGCTGTAGATAAAGATAATGCTTTTCCTTCGTGCTAGTAGCTAGGGGCCAGATGCTCTGCGTGTCAACGTCAAGCTTCGCGAGCCGCATACTTGATCTGCACAAAGCCGCTTGGCAATGACAGCGCCACCCACGTTTTGGGCAACCTGGTTGGCGCCTAGCGGGCTTCTCTGCAAGACGGGCACTGAAGCCAGACGGGCACTTTAAGATGCTTCGTGTGAGGTCCTGCAAAGCACTTGATTGTGTTGCGTGTTGGGTAGAATCAGAGACCAATTCGCTTCATACCATTGACTGCGATTAAGTGCGGTCAAAAGGTGCCTTCAGCAAAACGGTCGGTCACCAGATGCGTGGACAGATTAGTGCAGCCGCTTAGCGCTGCCAGTATCAGAGTACCTTACGCCCCGTGTATGTTGAATTTTTTCGATCTGCAGGTTGATCCACGTTAATTTGCGTCCATTTTGGATCAGACTTGATTTGCTCCAGTTTTGCTAGGACGCGGAATCTTGCTTCTCGTCCGCCTGATTTCCTTGGAGATGCGGAAATGATCGGCGGTTTGACACAATTACGGCCGCCGAATAAATGCTTGGCAGCGAACCGGAAAGATCGTTCTCGTGCAGGATTCAAGAAAAACCTTTGACGGTCTGGATTTCAAAGAAGCTACGGTGTACATTTCCTGTATACTTGTTAATATGCTTTCCATCTGGAAAACGCAGTTCGCTCTCAATCGCTGTCCCGTAGCTTCGCTTATAGGGTCCTGGAGTTCCACCTGCTATCTTGCAGACCACACGTAGCGCCCCAGGGGTTGCCAACTCAAGTGGCTATGCTGACTGGTCGTGTCTTTATTGCAATGACGGAGACTGCAGTGACTGGGCGTCCTATCTGAGCCATGTGATACCGCTCCCTT